GTTTGTCCGCGACTTGTCTGCGGACAAGCTGTCCCCTCGTGCTGCTCCTTGCGTCTTCCTTGGCTTCCCCCCTGACGCGCCAGGGTGGCAGTTCTACCACCCCACCTCTCGCCGTGTTCTGTCCTCCCAGGACGTCACGTTTGACGAGTCGGTCCCCTACTACCGCCTCTTCCCCTACCGCACTCCGTCCCTCCCCCCGCCACCGCTCTTCCTTGTCCCAGGTCCCCCCCCGGTAGACCCCCTCCCCCCTCAGGGTCCTGCCCCTTCAGGTGTGTCCCAGGTAGACGCAGTCGAGCCTGTCGAGGTTACTGGTGACTCTGGTGCTGCTGAGGGTGCTGAGCCTGGGGGTGCTGACTCTGGGGGTGCTGAGCGTGTGGGTGCTACGCCTGGGGGTGCTGAGCCTGAGGGTGCTACTACTGGGGGTGCTGAGCCTGGGGGTGCTGAGCCTGGGAGTGCTACGCCTGGGGGTGCTACGCCTGGAGGTGCTGAGCCTGGGGGTGCGGAGCCTGAGGGAGCTGGGCCTGCTCGTGTGGCGTCTGGCGGTGCTGAGCCTGGAGGTTCTCCGGGTGCTTCGTCTCGACGGGAGGCACTCTCTCCACAGGAGCTGCGCGAGTGGTTTGCCCGGCGGTGGAGGCGTGCTGCTGGAGCTGGAGGTTCTTCGGCTGCTGAGGGTGCTGGTGCCGCGGGTCTTGGAGGTGCTCGTACTGGGAGTACTGGAGCTGCTGGGCCTGCGGGTACGACTGGAGCTGGAGCTGCTGAGGGTGTTGGCGCTGAGGCTACTGCTGTCGGTCCTGGAGGCGGTCCTGCTGGGGGTGCTGGAGCGGGAGGTACTGCTGGCGCTGGTGCTGCCGCTGGGGGTACTGGTGCTGTCCCTGCTGTGTCTGGAGTCGCCACACGGCCTAGGCCGTACTTCGTTCCGCTCCTTCAGCAGGTTCTTGGTCTCCCGCCTTCTCCTGGTCCTCCTCCTCCCTTAGAGTGTCCACAGCCTGTCCCGTCACAGTTACAGTTACAGCCGGCCTCCCCACTGCCCGCTCCTTCTCCCTACACTGGTCCTACTGGAGGTCTTGCTGAGCGTCGTGAGCCTGCGTCTCGCCCTGCGTCGCCTGTCCGTGCTTCTCGCGCTAGTGGTCGTGGTTCGCGTCAGCGTCCTCCTCCTGTCCCTGGCACGCACCGGATGTCTCTGCGTCCGTCCACTGCTCCTCTGCGTGCCCCTTTGCCTTCTCCTCCTGAGTCCTCTCTTCCTGCTCTTCCTGACCCGGAGTCGGACTCTCTTCGTGCTGCCAGTCCTACTGTCACGCGTCTCCTTGCTACTGTTTTCACTGACCCTTCCTTTGAGTCCACTGCTGCGTCTGCCCTAGTTACTGAGCTCGTCGACTTTGCTGCTCGCTGTCGTCTAGACTACGCTGCTAGACTTGTTGCTGAGTCTGAGTCTGTCTGTCCTCCGTCCGTCGGGGGTGAGTGTGCCCTTGGCACGGACGTCCTTGAGGACAGGCAGGAGGAGTTCCAGTGTTTGGCTGCTGCTTCACCTCATCTCGTGTCCGTACTGCTTACCCCTGAGGGAGACCCGGATGCACTTGACATCCCGACTCCGCGCTCTTACGCGGAGGCGATAGAGGGTCCCTACTCCTCTCAGTGGCAGGCAGCTATGGACGCAGAGATGGCTTCCTGGAAGTCCACGGGCACCTACGTTGACGAGGTTCCCTCGCCTGGGTGGAACATCGTCAGTGGCATGTGGATTTTCAGGGTGAAGCGACCGCCGGGTTCTCCGCCTGTCTTCAAGGCGCGTTACGTGGCTCGTGGCTTCAGTCAGAGGCAGGGAGTTGACTACTTTCAGACCTTCTCTCCCACCCCGAAGATGACCACTCTTCGGGTACTGCTGCACATAGCTGCTCACCGCGACTACGAGCTGCACTCTCTTGACTTTAGCACTGCTTTCTTGCAGGGCAGCCTGCACGAGGAGATCTGGCTGCGTCGCCCACCTGGCTTCACTGGGTCTTTTCCTCCTGGCACCCAGTGGAGCCTCCGGCGGCCAGTCTACGGTCTCCGCCAGGCACCGCGTGAGTGGCACGACACACTGAGGACTACACTTGCGGCTCTTGGGTTTGCTCCCTCTACTGCCGACCCGTCGCTGTTTCTGCGCACCGACACTTCTTTGCCGCCGTTCTACATCCTCGTGTACGTCGACGACTTGGTCTTTGCCACAGCTGACACTGCTGGACTCGCCCACGTGAAGTCCGAGCTGCAGAAGAGACACACGTGCACAGACCTGGGTGAACTGCGCAGCTACCTTGGCTTGCAGATCACCCGGGACAGAGCACGCCGCACCATTACCCTGACTCAGTCACACATGGTGCAGCAGGTCCTTCAGCGCTTCGGCTTCACGTACTCCTCGCCTCAGGCCACTCCTCTGCCTACTCGCCACTCGCTCTCAGCTCTGCCTTCGGATGAGTCCGTAGAGTCGAGTGGCCCGTACCCAGAGCTTGTTGGCTGCCTCATGTACCTGATGACCTGCACACGACCTGACCTTGCATACTCTCTTAGCATTCTTGCACGCTATGTTGCTCCTGGGAGACACAGACCGGAGCACATGGCTGCAGCGAAGAGGGTGTTGCGCTACTTGTGCAGTACATCGGGCATGGGGCTTGTGCTTGGAGGGCAGAGTCCAGTGGTTCTCACTGGACACGCAGACGCTTCTTGGGCTGACGACCAGGCTACGCAGCGGTCGTCACAGGGTTACACCTTCAGCCTTGGTTCCGGCTCTGTTTCGTGGCGGGCTACTCGCTCGTCTTCTGTTCTCGGCTCCAGTTGCGAGGCTGAGATCTACGCCGGGGCCATGGCTGCACAGGAGCTTCGCTAGCTCACCTACCTGCTGACTGACCTCGGAGAGCCGCCTCGTTCTCCTCCAGTGCTCTACGTAGACAACAAGGCCATGCTGGCCTTGTGTCGAGAGCAGAGACTGGAGCACAGAACGAAGCACATTGCTCTTCGCTACTTCCTTGCTCGTGAGCTACAGCAGCGTGGTCAGCTGCGACTTGCGTACGTGGCCTCTGAGGCCAACACTGCTGATATCTTCACCAAGGCACTTGCGCCTTGTGATCATCAGCGCTTCTGTACTTAGCTGGGTCTTGTGCCTACCTTGCCTCACTTGCTCACCTCTTGACCTTGTTTGTACTGTTGCATATATATATACTCCTGCTCTTGCTTGTTTAGCCTTATATATATATGTAATCCTGCATGTTAACTGGCCTTGTGGCCTTGAACTTGTGCTCGGAATGTGTGGTGACTTTGTGATCCACCCTGAGCTTGCTTTGCTTTGCTTGACTGGTCTTGTGACCCCTTGTTCTCCCCCACTTTGCCTATGGGGGTGTGTCAGAGTTATTTGACATAGCTACTGTAGGCTATAGTGGAGTAGCACATATGGGGTACAGTTTCCTAGGGTTTGCCTTTTGTACCCAACTTTCACTTAGTCATTCCATTCCTGTTTTCTTGATTCACAATGGGTTCTATGAGATGAACTTGGTCGCGACGAACGATAAGGATGAGATTTATGAGGATCCTGAGTTTACTGAGGTTGATGAGAGCGAGGACACGGATGATACGGGAGCGAGTGTGGAGGCAGCAGTGAAGCAGGAAGAAGAGATAGTCACCATGGAGGCAGCAGCAGTAAACGGTGGAGATGGAGACGATGTCAACACTTTTGCAGCAGCGATCGTGGTTGAAGATGAAGCAGTAAATGCGAAGTGTGTGGGAGTTGAAGCTGTGAAAGGGGACATCATGGTGAAAGGATCAAATGCGAATGCAACTGCAAAGGGGCAAGTGCTTAAGGAGGATGAACGCGTTGAAGGGTACGAGACCCGAGAGGTGTTGGGTGTAAAGATGCCGAGGAGAAGTGAGAGGCTTAAGAAAATCTCTCAAGGTTTGGATGTCAATGCGCTCAACTTCAAGACACGTAAGCAGAGGTTCAAGGTGCAGGAGCTGCTGGGGAGTGTGAAGCCGACCTAGACCCTGTGAAGGCTACAAGGAGCAGGGGAGGAGTGCGAGTGAAGTTCGTGGTTGACGAACCACAGGGGAGATTGTTAGGGTTGGTTCGCCCAACCACGGAACCTATGGCGAAAGTCTCTACGACGGCGGAATGACGGCGAAATGGAAGCGCGTGGATGATTCTAGGTGAAACGGTGGAAATCAGCCTACGGCGTGAGAAGCGGGAGAGAAATTGAGAAGGAACCAAAGAAATGGAGGAAGAGAGAAGGAGAAGCATCGAGGATGAGATCGACGGGGGAAATTGTGGTCTGAGACCAAGGCGCGTTCGAGAAGGTTCCAGATTCGGTCTTGAGGAGTGTTCACCGAATTCGGTTCGGTTCCGTGTGCGACTCGGGGTGAAACGAGGCGCACGCGGTTACTTGGGAAACAAGTGAAGTTACGAATCGCATTTTGTGACTTGCTTGACTATAAAACTGCTTGTACTCATTCTGGAAAACACAACTTGGAGATTCTGAAAATTGCTGAAGTGTGTATTAACAACTTCAAGCAGAGCTGCGCATATCATTGGATTCGTGAGATCGTGGAGAACACGATAAGCAATAGCAAGTAGAGTATTGCCGACTAAGTTGTTTACGATCCTAAGATTCACCGGCTAGCAGCGTAGCGCGGTCCGGATGGAGATCGACCCGTCGTGGAAGGACATTCAGGTATCTCTCTTGGAATTCGCGACGACGCGCTTTCCCCGTTTGCGCGATCTAGCTGTTAGCGCGATCTCGCTGTAAGCAAGATCTCTCTGTTGTCTCGATATCTCTCAACGCATTATTTCGTATATTCGACCTCTCTCTTAGCGTGTCCGCGGAACTGGGCACTGCTGGCCTGATTATGGCATTTCCCCACACCGTCGGTAGTTTAATGAGTCGTTTCTACCGCCGAATTCTCCGCCAATTTCATTACACGGTGCCTCATTCGCCAACCAACCCCCTTACTCCCACGCCTACCATCCCCGCTCCTCCCCGCAGCGTCGTCGGACGACTGGCGGCGCGCGTTGGCGCGGGTGGTGCCGGCGGTGGTGGTGCTGCGCGTGACGGTGGTGCGCGCGTTCGACACGGAGTCCGCCAACTCCAGCTACGCCACCGGATTCATCGTCGACCGCCGCCGCGGCATCATCCTCACCAACCGCCATGTCGTCAAACCCGGTCCGCGCGCCTCCCTTTCCGCCTTGCATCCTGCTCCCTGCCAGCTGTCGCCTCACCACCCGCATCGTTCTCTCGCTCCCGCATGCCCCCTCCCTTGAGATCCGCGCGTCCCGCCTCTCAAACGGCCCGTTCCGCCTTCCCGCACGCATCCCCCCGCTCTTCCGCGCATTTCCCCCCCCGCGCGCGTCCGCCAGGCCCGGTGGTGGCGGAGGCGATGTTTCTGAACCGCGAGGAGGTGCCCGTGCATCCGATCTACCGCGACCCCGTGCACGACTTCGGGTTCTTTCACTTTGACCCCGCCGCCGTGCAATTCCTCGACTACCAAGACATCCCGCTCGCGCCCGAAGCCGCCGCCGTGGGACTCGAGATCCGCGTCGTGGGCAACGACAGCGGCGAGAAGGTCTCTATTCTCGCCGGGACCATCGCGCGGCTGGATCGCGACGCGCCCGTGTACAAAAAGGACGGGTATAATGATTTTAATACGTTCTATTTGCAAGCCGCGTCGGGGACCAAGGGCGGTTCGAGCGGATCGCCCGTGATCGACTCGCGCGGGTGCGCCGTGGCGCTGAACGCGGGCAGCAAGTCGTCGAGCGCGAGCGCGTTTTTTCTTCCGCTGGACTGCGTGGTGCGCGCGCTGGGCGCCATCCAGGCGTGCTTCGCGGAGAAGGAGGGCGGCGGGTTCGTCGTGCACAAGTGGCGCCCGCCCGTCGTCACCCGCGGCACCCTGCAGGTGGGTGGGCGCGCAGCAGGGGGGGAGGGGGGGGTAGGAGGGGGGAGGAGGGGGGAGTAGCGGGGAGGAGGGGGGAAGGGGGCACGGACAGGGAGAAGGGATGGGAGAGAGCGGGTCGTATGCTGCTGCGTTGTGTTTGGGGCTTGTTCAGAGAGGTCTTAACAGCACTGGAACATTTCTTGCACTTGAATGTATCCCTTTCTGCTCCTCCCCAAGCGTGGCCCCTCGCTCCACCTCCGACTCCCTTTCCCTCTCCCCTGCGCCCTCTACCCTCCTGCCCTCCCCTCCCCTCCCCTCCCTCCCCTTTTCCCACCATGACACCAGGTGACGTTGATTCACAAGGGGTTTGACGAGACGCGGCGGCTGGGGCTGAGGCGAGAGACGGAGGCGGAGGTGAGGCGCGAGGCGGGGGCAGCGGAGACGGGGCTGCTGGTGGTGGACTCGCTCGTGCCGGGCGGCCCTGCTGAAGGCAGACTGGAGCCCGGAGACATCCTCGTGCGCGTCAACGGCAAGGTGTGTGAGTGGGTGGTGGCAGCGGGGGGAGAGAGAGGTGCAGGTGAAGCGTGTGGCCGGGACGGGCTGTTTGTGGTAGACTGGGAGGCAGACTGGAGCCCGAAGACATCCTCGTGCGAGTCAATAGCAAGGTGAGCAGCGAGCCTTGCTTCCTCTCATCTTTTCCTTCCCCCTTTATCTTGCTTCCTTCTCTTGGCCGGGCATCCTCCTCCTCCCTCATTATTCCTCTCAACTGAAGTCCTTATCGTCCCCCATCATCCCCATGTCCCCCTCCATCACCTCTCACCATTCTCCTCTCCACACCTCCTGACCTCCCCTCCACCCCCCCTCCCCACCTCCTCGCAGGTGCTCACGCAGTTCCTCGCGCTGGAAGCCATTTTAGACGACGCCGTGGGAGGCACCGTGACTCTCGACGTGGAGCGCGGCGGCGCACCCCTCTCCCTCGCCCTCACAGTGCACGACCTGCACGCCGTCACGCCCGACCGCTTCCTCGAGCTCTCAGGGGGGGTCCTCCACGCGCTCTCCTACTAGCAGGCGCGCAACTTCCGCTTCCCCTGCGGCCTCGTCTACGTCGCCGAGCCCGGCTACATGCTCTCGCGCGCCGGCGTGCCGCGCTTCGCCATCATTCAGAAGCTGGCCGACCAGGATGTGCCGGATTTGGAGGCGTTTATAAGGGTGTTTGCGGGGTTGAAGGCGGGGGCGAGAGTGCCGATAGAGTATGTGACGCATGGGGAGCGGCACCGGCCCAAGTCGGTGCTGCTGCTGGTGGACCACCATGCGTGGTACGCGCCCCCCCAGATGTACTGTAGGGATGACTCCACGGGGCTCTGGCGCATTGCCTCCGCGCTCCCCCCTCCGCCTGCTGCTGCTGCTGCTGCTGCTGCTGCTGCTGCTGGTGCTGCTAATGCTACCGATGGTGCTGCTGACGGTGCTGCTGCTGCTGCTGATGGTGCTGCTGCCGATGGTGATGGTACAGCCAAGGAGGACGGAGGGTTGAAAAAGGGAGGTGGGAACGGAGAAGAGCAGCAGAGGGGAGAGAAGAGAGCTAGAGGGGAGGAGGAGGGCGAAGGGGAAGGAAGCAAGAAGCTTAAGGCAAAGGAGGCAACTGCAGTAGCTGATGGGGACGAGCCTGCTGCAGCGGCTGCAGCGGCGGCGGCGGCGGCGGCGGAGGTGGATGGATCAGAGGCATCGGCCAAGCCAGCTGGCACGAGCTCATTGGTGGAGAGTGCACTGGAGCCCGCGTTTGTGATGATGGAGGTGGGTGGTGCTGCGCCATGCTATGCCCCATCCCTTTTTCGTCTTACTGGTTCCCGCCTCTGCTGTGAGCCTCTGCTGTGAGTCTCTGCTGTGATGGTGTGCCTCAATTTCCCCCTCTTTCCCACTCCCCATCCCCACCTTCTCACTTCCCCTTCTCATCCCTCCCAACCCCATTTCTTTCTCATACATCCTTGCTCCTCCCTTGCAGGTGCACGTGCCATCATCAGTGATGGTGGACGGGGTGCACGCGCAGCACTTATTTAGGTCGACTCACAAATATACGCACACCCTCACCCCTCTTCTTCCGACCCCGTCCTCCTCCCCCCCAACCCCCGTTCTTGCAGGTGCACGTGCCATCGTCGGTGATGGTGGACGGGGTGCACGCGCAGCATTTCTTCGGCACGGCGCTGGTGGTGCACCACACGCCGCAGCTGGGGCTCATCGTGGTGGACCGCAACACCGTTGCCGTCTCCGTCTCTGACATCATGCTCTCCTTCTCTGCTTACCCTGTTGAGGTCCCCGGGGAGGTGAGCATCCATCCTCCCTCATGATGTCACTCTCTGGCACTCTCTGACTCTCTTTATTTGAGTCACAGTCTCTGTGACTCCGTCTCTGACATCATGCTCTCCTTCTCCGCCTACCACGTTGAGGTCCCCGGGGAGGTCAGCGCCCACCTTCTCTCACTCCCTGACGCCCACTCTATTCGTGTATAACCGTCTCTGTCTCCTCGACTTATCACACGCAAACCCGCACCTTTCAACTCACTCTCTACCCCCTCCTCTTCCCCCCCTCTCCTCCCAGGTGGTGTTACTTGCACCCGGTGCACAACTTTGCCTTTGTGGCGTACGACCCGTCAGCCCTCGGAGCAGCAGCAGCGGCGGCAGTTAAGCCCGCCACGCTCAAGCCCTCCCCTGCGTTGCGCCGCGGCGACCGAGTGCACCTGGTGGGGCTCAGCCGCAGCCAGGCCGTCACGTCCCGGCAGTCCGTGGTGACCAACCCCACCGCCACGCTCACCGTGGGCGCCGCTGACTGCCCGCGGTACCGCTCTATTAATATGGACGTCGTGGAAATCGACACGGGTGAGTGCACAGGGCTCGATGCTCCCCACCGCTCCTTTTACATGCGCTCATGCTGCCACAACTTGGCCTACGGTGGTGCCCACAGCCATTACTCCAGAAGTAAGCACTCTCCACCCTGCAGGTGCATTGCTAACCCCATCCCGTCCGCCCTGTGCACCCCGTGCACTCTGCCCTCGGTGCGTCACAGACTTCGGGCAGTCCTTCTCGGGCGTGCTGGCGGACGACTCGGGCGCCGTGAGAGCCCTCTGGGGCTCCTTCTCCACCTTCGTACGCCGCTTCCTTTGCCCCCTCCTCCCTTCTCTACTCCCTCCTCCTCTCCCTCCTCTCGCTTGATGCATTGCTTCTTTCCTCCCTTAAGCTCTCCCTCTTTGCCCCGAGCGTCCCCAGGCTCCCTCCCCTTATCAGTCTTTGAGCTCGACGTCGCCCCTTCTCTCCTCCTTCCTCCTTCTGAACCTCTGCCATCTGTTGTTCAGATGAAAGCTGTCTTTCCCACCGCCATACTCCATTGTAAGCGTTCAAAGGACCAATCACTGTCCTGAACCACCTCCTCACCTCCCAAACCGTGCCCCCCTCTTCCCCTTCCCCAGCTGAAGTACGGCGATGGCGGAACGGACGATCTGCAGTTTGTGCGCGGGCTGCCCATCTCCTTCATCTCCGCCGCCCTCCACCAAATCATCCACGCCTCCCCCTCCAAGCCCCTCCGCCCCCTCCCACCCACTGCGCCCGCTCCCACTCCCGCTCTTCCCACCGCGCCCCACGTCGAAAGCAATGGCCTAGCAGGAGAAGCAGACGAGGGGCCAAGCAAGGCAGAGGTGGCGGAGGAGGGAGACAAGGCTGGTGAGCAGCAGCAGCAGCAGCAGCAGCAGCAGGAGGCGGGGGCGGACAACAGCCTGCTGATGAACGGGCGGCTGTGGGCCATGCCGCGCATGCGCGTGCTAGAAGCAGAGCTCGCCCCCATGCTGCTCTCCAAAGCCAGGAGCTTTGGCCTCTCAGAGCACTGGGTGCACGTGCTGGCGAGTGCCGACCCCGTGCGGCGGCAGGTGCTGCGCGTGAAGGGGACCCTTGCGGGGTCTGCTGTGGCTGGGGTTCTGCAGCAGGGCGATATGTTGCTCGCTGTGAATGGCCGCCCCGTCACGTGCTTCGCTGATGTGGAAGCTGCCTGTTGTGAGCTGGATGCAGGGCTGGCGGCGGGGGATGGGGGGAGCGGCGGGAGAGAGGGCGCTGGGAATGGGCATGTGAGTGAGACAGGGGGCAGGGAGCCTACGGGATCGGCGGCAGCAGGAGCAGAGATGACTGCAGCAAATGGTACAGCGGAGGCTGCAGTAGAGGCACCAGGAAGTGCAGGTGGAAAGGAGAATTTAGGGAAGGCCGCATCAGCAGGGGAGGCAGCAGCAGCAGGGGAAGCGGGCCGGGCGTCATTGAGTGTGACGATACTGCGGCAGGGCAGGGAGCAGCAGGTGCAGGCGGGCACGGACGTGCGGCACGGGTTCGGCACGACGCGAGTGGTGAACTGGGCGGGGTGCCTCGTGCAGGACCCGCACCCTGCTGTCAGAGCCACCGGCTTCCTACCCTCGCAGGGCCACGGCGCTTATGTTGCCAGGTGGGTGGGTTGGGGGCGTTGTGTGAGGTGATTTTTGAGACGTTTCAGAAGTCGTGCAGGACCCCCACCCCGCTGTCCGCGCCACTGGCTTCCTGACCTCGCAGGGCCACGGCGCTTATGTCGCCAGGTGGGCTGGGGAATCTACGAGAGAGAGTTGCTGTTGTGTGATTTAGGCGATGAAATTGGTCCAGGATGTTCCTCCATCCCGTCCCTCTCCTCCATTGCCCCTCTCTCCCTGCTACTCCATGCCACCCACATGCCCGCACTCACAGGTGGTGCCATGGCAGCCCAGCGCACCGCTACGGGCTGTACGCTCTCCATTGGATCGTGGAGATCAACGGCCGTCCCGTGCCCGACCTCGATGCTCTGGTTGCCATCAGCCAGGTGAGACCAGATTCACAGTTGCAGGGAAATATGATAGAGTTGCCGCTCCTCCTCTCCTTCCTCTCTCCCTCTCTCATCTCGTCCACCATTTTGTCGTTTCCAATCCCCTCTTTCATCGCCACCCCTTTCCTTCCTCTGCTGCTCTCCCTCTCTCCTCCTTCACTCCTCAAACCCCTCCCCCGTATTTTTTCTCTCAGGGGCTGGAGCTTCATATTTACACACACATCCCCCTCTTCCCCTCCCCTTCCCTCTCTCCGCATGGCAGGAGTTGGAGCACGGGGCGTTTGTGCGGGTGAAGGTGGTGCATCTGAACGGCAAGCCGCGGGTGCTGACGTTGAAGCAGGACCTGCACTACTGGCCCACCTGGGAGCTGCGCTTCGTGCCCAGCACCGGCACGTGGCAACGCACCATCCACAAAATAGAGAAATAGCTACAGTTTGAGGATTGTCAGTTGGCCATGTCAGGCTGCCATGGGGTGAAACATGGTGTTCCCCATGGGTGTGTTTTGTTAGAAGATTTTTCTGTTGTCGATCTAAAAGCTTTTGTCCCTCCATGATAGCTAGTGGTATGCAAAAATGTCAAAATAGTATTATCACCATATTCCAGGTAAAATATGGTGGGAGCGAATGTCTACATAAATTGCGGTACAGCGTTTCCTGCTTGAACCAACTTTTGAGAACCACCTTCGTTGTTGTAACCTACTACAAGGTCGGGGAACCCACTATCGAGGTAATACGCTTTTCCATGGCTGTCCCACGATAAATCCCTACGCCCTCGCCCCACAGCATTGGTTCCGCCACTCGCGTCGCAATCATTCCCTCATAGTCTCCTCAATCGCCGGTCCTTAGTCGCGCTATCGCAGACGCGCCAGCGTGCATTCGCGGCACGCAGCGCGAGCGCACGGCGGGCAGACAGCCAGTGAAGCGCGACGCAGCGAGCGAGTGAGTGGCGGCGAGGCAGCGAAGCGCAGAGGCAGCGAGGCGCGGCAGCGACGAAGCGCATAGGGCAGCGAGCAAGGCCTGCCAGTCGGAGAGGCAGCGAGGGGCAGCAAGCGATGGATCATTCGGGGCGCGCGGCGCACAACGACCCCATCGTGCGCCAGGTCGGCTTCTTCGCGCCCTCCGCCACAACCCCTGCCGGCCAATCCGCCGCACAGCCCGCGCGAGACCCCTCCGCAGCCGCCGCCGACGGCGACGGGCTGCCGCCGCTGCCGTTCCTCGCGTCCGCGTCGCCGTCGCCGCCGTTCGTGCCGTCAGTCCCGCCGATTCCGTCGCTGCCGATCAACGTGCCGCTGCCGTCGTATCAGCGCCCGTCGCCCATCGCGGAGGGCAGCGAGTGCTCCGAAAGTCTCCCGCCTGACGATTCCTACCTATCCTCGTCCGCCACGTCAGCGGCCCCGTCCGGCGCGGTGTTCGGGTCCGTGTCTGACGTCAGCGGACCAATCCTCTCTGTTTCCGCCGCCACTGTCGCCCGCGCGGGTGCGGCGGCGGCGCAGCAAGAAGCGGCGGATGGCGCAAAACCCAGTCGGGAAAAGCAGGCGGGCGCGCCAGGGCGGGGGGCGGCCTCCGGGGGTGGAGGTGCGGGCGGAGCAGCGGGAACGGCGGGAGCGGGGAGGTCGCCGGCGGACAGCAGCAGCAGCGCGGGGGGGAGTCCGCGGAGTGCGGGGAGCCTTGGCGTGCGGGGCGCCGCCAAAGCCGCCTCTGCTGTGGTGCCCGCGTCCCTGCCCAGTGCGTGCTGCCACCAGCCTGGCAAGGGCGGGGGACACTGAGGGGGGCGCGGATGGGGTAGCGTGATAGCACTACATGGCTGTAGGGCGGGTGAGGTGGCATTGTGGCGTCATAACAGCGTGGCATCGTGGCATGGGGTTTGGGAAGGGGGTACGGGACGAGAGGAGATGGGGCTGCAAGCGCACTGAATCTCTGGTTCTTCTTCCTCCCCCAGCCTCCCCCACAACCTCTTCCCCCCCTCCCCATTCTTCCCCACGTCCCACTCCCTCTTCCCCCATCTCCCCCTCCCCCCGGGCAGCGGTGATGGACGGGCGGGCGGGGGGCAAGAAGGTGACGTCTAAGGCGGAGAGGCGCGCCCTGCAGGAGGCTCAGCGCGCTGCCAAGGCCGTCGCTGCTGCTGGTGGCGGTGGTGCTGGTGGTGGTAAAGGTGAGTATGGCTCGTTTAGTGCAGAGATAGGCCGCCCCCTGGAGGAGGCTCAGCGCGCTGCCAAGGCCGCCGCTGCTGGTGGTGCTGCTGGTGGTGCTGCTGGTGGTGCTGCTGGTGGTGCTGCTGCTGGTGCTGCTGGTGGTGCTGCTGCTGGTGCTGCTGGTGGTGCTGCTGGTGGTGCTGGCGGCGGTGGTAAAGGTGAGTGAGTGGCTCGTTGGGTGCAGCGTGCAGATATAGGTCGCGCTGCCAAGGCCGCTGCTGCTGCTGCTGCTTCTGACGAAGGGTCGCACCACGTGTGTGCTCATGCACACCATGCCATGCCGTACCATGCCTGTGCCCATCCTGCCATGCCCCCCATCCCATGCCATCCCATGCCATGCAATGCCATGACCTGTCGCCAATCCCTCGCTTCCCTCTGCCTCCCTTTACGACTGTGCAGGCGGAAAGGGCGCAGGAGGGGCAGGCGGAGGAGGGGGCAAGGGTGGGAAGGGGAAGGAGGGCGGGCAGCAGGGCGGGGGAAGAAGGGCAAGCGGGGAATCCGCTGCAGTGTCTGCTGCAGGGACGGGGGGAGGGGACGCGGAGGGGGGTGGGCGGAGCAGCAGTGGGAGCGTGGCTGGCGCACAGAAGGGGGGAGGGGGAGGCGGGGGAAAGGGAGGGGGAGGGCGGGGAGGGGAGGACGGGCAGCACAAGTCGAGCTCGCTCCGCGGGGGGTGGCAGCAGCTGATGGCTGACGTGGCAGCAGTGGATTCGTCGCTGCGGGTGGATCTGTTCCGGCACCTGCCGCAGTTTGACCGGGCGGCGCAGATTGCTCTCGTGGAGGCGCGGCTGCTGGACGAGGAGGACAGCCCGCTCTCCGTGCACCCCGCCGTCTATGAGGTGCGTGCATGTGGAGTGAGATGGGGTGGGGTGGGTTGGGGTGGGGTGTGGTGGGGTGTGGTGGGGTGGGGTGGGATGCCTCGTGCACCTCTGCCCCCTGCTGGATGAAGAGGACTCCCTCCTCTCGGTGCACCTTGCTGTCTATGAGGTGCGTGCGTGTGGAGGAGATGGGGTAGCGTAGAGTGGGACTCCCCCCTCTCGTTGCACCCCGCCGTCTATGAGGTGCGCTCGAGGGTTTGGGATGGGGATGTGGCTGGGAAGGGGGAACGGTGAGGTGCGGTGGGGTGGGATTCCTCTTGCACCTCTGCACCCTCCCTTGCCAAGCATCCTCCTCCATGCGCTGCTCCTTTGCCCAACCGCCAGGTGGGGATGCGGTTCCTACAGCAGGAGCAGCGCCTGCAGGGCGGCAACGAGCGCTGCCTGGCCATGCTGCACTGCCCCCCACGTCTATTTCTCGGCTCGCTTTCCTCTTTCCCCCCATTTCCTCTCTTCCCTCCATTCCCTCCATCCTCACCCCCCCCACTGCACAACCGTCCCCCATTCCCCCATCCGCTCCCTCCCCCTCCTTCTCCCCCCCCCCCTCCTCCTTCCAACGCCAGGTGGGGATGCGGTTCCTACAGCAGGAGCAGCGCCTGCAGGGCGGCAACGAGCGCTGCCTGGCCATGCTGCACGCGCTGCGCCGCCTCTTCCTCGACCACCGCGTGCCCGACGCCCGCCCCCCCATCCGCGACCTCACGGCGCGCCTCAACGCGCACGTCGCCTTCCTCATCGCGTGCCGGCCGCTCTCAGTCGGCATGGGGAACGCGGTTCGAGCGCTGAAGCAGTGCCTCACGCGCATGGGCGCGGACCCGGGCGTGCAGGAGAGCGCGGCGCGCGCGGCGGTGGTGGCGGAGATCGATCGGTTTGTGGCGGAGAAGCTGGTGTTTGCGGGGCAGGAGGTGGTGCGCCATGCAGCAGGGAAGATCCGAAAGGAGGGCGATGTGATTCTCACCTTTGGATGGTCTGAACTCGTGCTGGAGGTGAGTCTGCCTTTGAGTCGACTCAAGAAAAGCTGGTGTTCGCCGGGCAGGAGGTGGTGCGCCATGCAGCAGGGAAGATCCGAAAGGAGGGCGATGTGATTCTCACCTTTGGATGGTCTGAACTCGTGCTGGAGGTGAGTCTGCCTTTGAGTCGACTCAAGAAAAGCTGGTGTTCGCCGGGCAGGAGGTGGTGCGCCATGCAGCAGGGAAGATCCGAAAGGAGGGCGATGTGATTCTCACCTTTGGATGGTCTGAACTCGTGCTGGAGGTGAGTCTGCCTTTGAGTCGACTCAAGAAAAGCTGGTGTTCGCCGGGCAGGAGGTGGTGCGCCATGCAGCAGGGAAGATCCGAAAGGAGGGCGATGTGATTCTCACCTTTGGATGGTCTGAACTCGTGCTGGAGGTGAGTCTGCCTTTGAGTCGACTCAAGAAAAGCTGGTGTTCGCCGGGCAGGAGGTGGTGCGCCATGCAGCAGGGAAGATCCGAAAGGAGGGCGATGTGATTCTCACCTTTGGATGGTCTGAACTCGTGCTGGAGGTGAGTCTGCCTTTGAGTCGACTCAAGAAAAGCTGGTGTTCGCCGGGCAGGAGGTGGTGCGCCATGCAGCAGGGAAGATCCGAAAGGAGGGCGATGTGATTCTCACCTTTGGATGGTCTGAACTCGTGCTGGAGGTGAGTCTGCCTTTGAGTCGACTCAAGAAAAGCTGGTGTTCGCCGGGCAGGAGGTGGTGCGCCATGCAGCCCTTTGGATGGTCTGAACTCGTGCTGGAGGTGAGTCTGCCTTTGAGTCGACTCAAGAAAAGCTGGTGTTCGCCGGGCAGGAGGTGGTGCGCCATGCAGCAGGGAAGATCCGAAAGGAGGGCGATGTGATTCTCACCTTTGGATGGTCTGAACTCGTGCTGGAGGTGAGTCTGCCTTTGAGTCGACTCAAGAAAAGCTGGTGTTTGCCGGGCAGGAGGTGGTGCGCCATGCAGCAGGGAAGATCCGAAAGGAGGGCGATGTGATTCTCACCTTTGGATGGTCTGAACTCGTGCTGGAGGTGAGTCTGCCTTTGAGTCGACTCAAGAAAAGCTGGTGTTCGCCGGGCAGGAGGTGGTGCGCCATGCAGCAGGGAAGATCCGAAAGGAGGGCGATGTGATTCTCACCTTTGGATGGTCTGAACTCGTGCTGGAGGTGAGTCTGCCTTTGAGTCGACTCAAGAAAAGCTGGTGTTCGCCGGGCAGGAGGTGGTGCGCCATGCAGCAGGGAAGATCCGAAAGGAGGGCGATGTGATTCTCACCTTTGGATGGTCTGAACTCGTGCTGGAGGTGAGTCTGCCTTTGAGTCGACTCAAGAAAAGCTGGTGTTCGCCGGGCAGGAGGTGGTGCGCCATGCAGCAGGGAAGATCCGAAAGGAGGGCGATGTGATTCTCACCTTTGGATGGTCTGAACTCGTGCTGGAGGTGAGTCTGCCTTTGAGTCGACTCAAGAAAAGCTGGTGTTCGCCGGGCAGGAGGTGGTGCGCCATGCAGCAGGGAAGATCCGAAAGGAGGGCGATGTGATTCTCACCTTTGGATGGTCTGAACTCGTGCTGGAGGTGAGTCTGCCTTTGAGTCGACTCAAGAAAAGCTGGTGTTCGCCGGGCAGGAGGTGGTGCGCCATGCAGCAGGGAAGATCCGAAAGGAGGGCGATGTGATTCTCACCTTTGGATGGTCTGAACTCGTGCTGGAGGTGAGTCTGCCTTTGAGTCGACTCAAGAAAAGCTGGTGTTCGCCGGGCAGGAGGTGGTGCGGCATGCAGCAGGGAAGATCCGAAAGGAGGGCGATGTGATTCTCACCTTTGGATGGTCTGAACTCGTGCTGGAGGTGAGTCTGCCTTTGAGTCGACTCAAGAAAAGCTGGTGTTCGCCGGGCAGGAGGTGGTGCGCCATGCAGCAGGGAAGATCCGAAAGGAGGGCGATGTGATTCTCACCTTTGGATGGTCTGAACTCGTGCTGGAGGTGAGTCTGCCTTTGAGTCGACTCAAGAAAAGCTGGTGTTCGCCGGGCAGGAGGTGGTGCGCCATGCAGCAGGGAAGATCCGAAAGGAGGGCGATGTGATTCTCACCTTTGGATGGTCTGAACTCGTGCTGGAGGTGAGTCTGCCTTTGAGTCGACTCAAGAAAAGCTGGTGTTCGCCGGGCAGGAGGTGGTGCGCCATGCAGCAGGGAAGATCCGAAAGGAGGGCGATGTGATTCTCACCTTTGGATGGTCTGAACTCGTGCTGGAGGTGAGTCTGCCTTTGAGTCGACTCAAGAAAAGCTGGTGTTCGCCGGGCAGGAGGTGGTGCGCCATGCAGCAGGGAAGATCCGAAAGGAGGGCGATGTGATTCTCACCTTTGGATGGTCTGAACTCGTGCTGGAGGTGAGTCTGCCTTTGAGTCGACTCAAGAAAAGCTGGTGTTCGCCGGGCAGGAGGTGGTGCGCCATGCAGCAGGGAAGATCCGAAAGGAGGGCGATGTGATTCTCACCTTTGGATGGTCTGAACTCGTGCTGGAGGTGAGTCTGCCTTTGAGTCGACTCAAGAAAAGCTGGTGTTCGCCGGGCAGGAGGTGGTGCGCCATGCAGCAGGGAAGATCCGAAAGGAGGGCGATGTGATTCTCACCTTTGGATGGTCTGAACTCGTGCTGGAGGTGAGTCTGCCTTTGAGTCGACTCAAGAAAAGCTGGTGTTCGCCGGGCAGGAGGTGGTGCGCCATGCAGCAGGGAAGATCCGAAAGGAGGGCGATGTGATTCTCACCTTTGGATGGTCTGAACTCGTGCTGGAGGTGAGTCTGCCTTTGAGTCGACTCAAGAAAAGCTGGTGTTCGCCGGGCAGGAGGTGGTGCGCCATGCAGCAGGGAAGATCCGAAAGGAGGGCGATGTGATTCTCACCTTTGGATGGTCTGAACTCGTGCTGGAGGTGAGTCTGCCTTTGAGTCGACTCAAGAAAAGCTGGTGTTCGCCGGGCAGGAGGTGGTGCGCCATGCAGCAGGGAAGATCCGAAAGGAGGGCGATGTGATTCTCACCTTTGGATGGTCTGAACTCGTGCTGGAGGTGAGTCTGCCTTTGAGTCGACTCAAGAAAAGCTGGTGTTCGCCGGGCAGGAGGTGGTGCGCCATGCAGCAGGGAAGATCCGAAAGGAGGGCGATGTGATTCTCACCTTTGGATGGTCTGAACTCGTGCTGGAGGTGAGTCTGCCTTTGAGTCGACTCAAGAAAAGCTGGTGTTCGCCGGGCAGGAGGTGGTGCGGCCATGCAGCAGGGAAGATCCGAAAGGAGGGCGATGTGATTCTCACCTTTGGATGGTCTGAACTCGTGCTGGAGGTGAGTCTGCCTTTGAGTCGACTCAAGAAAAGCTGGTGTTCGCCGGGCAGGAGGTGGTGCGCCATGCAGCAGGGAAGATCCGAAAGGAGGGCGATGTGATTCTCACCTTTGGATGGTCTGAACTCGTGCTGGAGGTGAGTCTGCCTTTGAGTCGACTCAAGAAAAGCTGGTGTTCGCCGGGCAGGAGGTGGTGCGCCATGCAGCAGGGAAGATCCGAAAGGAGGGCGATGTGATTCTCACCTTTGGATGGTCTGAACTCGTGCTGGAGGTGAGTCTGCCTTTGAGTCGACTCAACAAAAGCTGGTGTTCGCCGGGCAGGAGGTGGTGCGGCATGCAGCAGGGAAGATCCGAAAGGAGGGCGATGTGATTCTCACCTTTGGATGGTCTGAACTCGTGCTGGAGGTGAGTCTGCCTTTGAGTCGACTCAAGAAAAGCTGGTGTTCGCCGGGCAGGAGGTGGTGCGCCATGCAGCAGGGAAGATCCGAAAGGAGGGCGATGTGATTCTCACCTTTGGATGGTCTGAACTCGTGCTGGAGGTGAGTCTGCCTTTGAGTCGACTCAAGAAAAGCTGGTGTTCGCCGGGCAGGAGGTGGTGCGCCATGCAGCAGGGAAGATCCGAAAGGAGGGCGATGTGATTCTCACCTTTGGATGGTCTGAACTCGTGCTGGAGGTGAGTCTGCCTTTGAGTCGACTCAAGAAAAGCTGGTGTTCGCCGGGCAGGAGGTGGTGCGCCATGCAGCAGGGAAGATCCGAAGGGAGGGCGATGTGATTCTCACCTTTGGATGGTCTGAACTCGTGCTGGAGGTGAGTCTGCCTTTGAGTCGACTCAAGAAAAGCTGGTGTTCGCCGGGCAGGAGGTGGTGCGCCATGCAGCAGGGAAGATCCGAAAGGAGGGCGATGTGATTCTCACCTTTGGATGGTCTGAACTCGTGCTGGAGGTGAGTCTGCCTTTGAGTCGACTCAAGAAAAGCTGGTGTTCGCCGGGCAGGAGGTGGTGCGCCATGCAGCAGGGAAGATCCGAAAGGAGGGCGATGTGATTCTCACCTTTGGATGGTCTGAACTCGTGCTGGAGGTGAGTCTGCCTTTGAGTCGACTCAAGAAAAGCTGGTGTTCGCCGGGCAGGAGGTGGTGCGGCATGCAGCAGGGAAGATCCGAAAGGAGGGCGATGTGATTCTCACCTTTGGATGGTCTGAACTCGTGCTGGAGGTGAGTCTGCCTTTGAGTCAACTCAAGAAAAGCTGGTGTTCGCCGGGCAGGAGGTGGTGCGGCATGCAGCAGGGAAGATCCGAAAGGAGGGCGATGTGATTCTCACCTTTGGATGGTCTGAACTCGTGCTGGAGGTGAGTCTGCCTTTGAGTCGACTCAAGAAAAGCTGGTGTTCGCCGGGCAGGAGGTGGTGCGCCATGCAGCAGGGAAGATCCGAAAGGAGGGCGATGTGATTCTCACCTTTGGATGGTCTGAACTCGTGCTGGAGGTGAGTCTGCCTTTGAGTCGACTCAAGAAAAGCTGGTGTTCGCCGGGCAGGAGGTGGTGCGCCATGCAGCAGGGAAGATCCGAAAGGAGGGCGATGTGATTCTCACCTTTGGATGGTCTGAACTCGTGCTGGAGGTGAGTCTGCCTTTGAGTCGACTCAAGAAAAGCTGGTGTTCGCCGGGCAGGAGGTGGTGCGCCATGCAGCAGGGAA